CCAAAAATGTAGACTCATCAAAGAGCAGTTTATCTTCACTGGATGATGTTTTGGATGAGTTTTTCACAGAAGAGCAATTACTAGAGGATGCCCTATTGAGTGCTGTTGTTAATGAAAGTAAAGAAAATGGTGTTCCTTCAGTAGTTCCCACACATTCTGGAGGATTACGTGAAAATAGTCGGGTGAAGTCTAGTCATGCGGAGATGGGAAGAAATGAGAGGATTCTTCCCTTGACGGACAGAAGCAAAACAACTAATAATAATAATAATAATAATAATAATAATAATAATAATAATAATAATAATAATAATAATAACCATGATAGTAGAAGAGATGGTAGGCGTAGAGTCATTGCCACAGATTCTTCAAAAGGAACTGAAAATGTGGATGCATCTCTAGATACAGTACTGGATGCGTTTTTTAGGGATGAACAGGTGTTGGATGAGGCTATTTTAGATATATGTTAATACAATATCCATGCCCGTATGATGTAAGTGTTGTTACTTATCCATTCTCTTTGGTTTTCTCATCTATACATTGCATATCCACACATACATAAATACATACACAAATACACACTCTTTCTTTCTCTCTTATTCTTTCTTATTTTATGCTTGTTTGTTTGTATGTATGTATTTATGTATGGGTGTCTGCATGTAATATTACATTTCCTTTCATTTGGTATTCCTATGGGTTTACATAATTAAAAGATTATTATGTTATTTCCCTAATATCAATAAGGGAACAATCATGTGAGCAAGAAGAATAAAGGGAACACTTCAATAAATAAATAAAAACAAAAAAAAAAAAAGAAGACAACGAAGAGAGAATATTTATTTTATGCAAGTATTCAGTGGAAATAAAAGTAGAGAGGTTAAGAGAGAGAGCGTTACTGTATACAGATACAAGGGAAGAAGTATACGTCTTTCCAGGAAAAAAAAAATATATATATGTGGTTCTATATATATATTTACACAAGAACCCAAACACTTTTCTACCTTTTTTTTAAAAAAATGTTTCTATTTCTCAATGGATCTCTTATATTATGCTGTTTGTTTTTGTTTTCTTCCTTATCCTTATCCTCCTGGTCATTTTTTTTTTTTTTTTTTGTATTCTCTTCTTTTTTATTTTTTTCTTGATGATGGTGTTAGAGAGAACATTGAAGAATTGGAGTGGAAATAGGAAGTAAGGAAGGAAGACGTTTAAAGAGGAGCAGTTTTATTTTTTCTATTCTGCCCTTTGTGTTTTTTTTTTTTTCTTTATTATTATTATTATTATTATTATTATTATTATTAGTGTCTTTTTTTTTTTAATTTAGTTATGAATCAATCAATGATAACCGGCAAGTTGTGTTTGCAAACCACTTTAGCCGTCGTTATGTTTATTTCTACCTTTTGGCTCTTCGCCGTAGACCGTGAGAGTTTTATTCTCCGAGATGATGAGAAGTCGATGCGTATGAAAACGAAATCCACCGTTTCTTTTTCTACAATGGATGAGAATAGTATGGAGTGGGATGACACAGATGCCTATTCTTCTCTCTACTGTGTAGGTCATCGATTGATAGATTATGATAATAATAATAATAATAATAATAGTAGTAATAATAATAATAATAATAATAATAATAAAGATGCGGAGGCGGTACGGATAGATGTTATTTCTAATGGTCTCTTTATATCTAATTTCACTCATTCCAGTCAACTCATGGAGAAGGATGTGATGGGATCACCGGATAAGTATTACTTTCCCATTTACAATCGTACCTGTTTGTATACGTTTGTATACTTTGATCAGAAGAAAAATAAATTTTATTTTTATCTACAGAATACATCTTTTCATCGTAAACTATTAGCGGAAGGTAAACTTCATTTACCACCAGTATCATTGAGTTCAAGACCATTAGAAATACCACGAGCACGTGCAAGTGCTCTACGGCGACAATCCCATTGGGCTTTTCAGTATTCTCCCATTATCATTCTTGGTAAACGTCCACGAGATGCCGTAATGGATTCCCTTCTTCTTCATAAAGAAGGAGAGAAGGAAGAAAACGAAAAAGATGGACCAAATAGTTTTTCTACTGTTTATCATCATAATATATTAGTAACGTACTTTCTTCCTACAGTGGCTCCATGGAATTTTGCTCATACACTTTTATGTGATTTATTTGGTTTCTTTTGGGGATCTATGGAATTACAAAAAGTCTTTAAACATATATACCCCTCTGAAATGAAATTTCTACAAAATGCACTTCCCGATGCGCAAATTATTGCCGCTTCCTTTCGATATTTTCCAAAGTTTCCACTTCCAAATTCAAATAAAGCCTTTTCTTTCTTCTCTCATCGTCCGGCTTTATATGATGTGAGGCTTCCCTCTGGTCTTTACAGGGCACTGTTGGCAGGCACAGGAACAAAGAGTTGGAGTTGGGTGACGGCAAAGTACACAGCGAGTGGATCTCCGGCATTGTGGTTTGCGTTTAGACATTATATTATTCAATTAACAGGGGCACAAGTAGAAGAAGAAAGAAAAGAAGAAAAAAAGAAAAAAGAAGAAGAAGAAACATTATTATTATCCTCTTCCTCTTCTTTCTTTAAAAATTATTCTTCTTCATTTTCTAATACATCACGTCCTATACGAGTTTCTATATGTTATAAGAAAGATAAACGTGGAATAGTGAATAGTGAAGAATTACTACAATTTCTTCATCATCAATATTCACAATCCAGTCAAGTGGAAATTCTTTTAGAAAGTATAGTGGGTCATAGTGCGAAAGAACAGGTAGAGATGATGTTGGCTACTGATATCTTTATTTGTAATGAAGGTACATTAGCAACAACGTTTTTCTTAATGAATCCCGGTTCTGTATTTATTGCACTTCCTATTATTTATCATTCCCCACATTTACATCAACCACACATGCCCTCACCAGAGAAATGGTGGTCTAATCCAGATATTATTCGTGTGGATCCACGATTTAATACGGGAGGAAATATTGATTGGTTTCCACCTGCTATTCCATGGATACGTACAATATGGTATCATCCTATTTCACTCGCAGAAGTGGAGATACAACAACCATTACAAGGATTACGTAATTATATGCCTGATTATAATATTCGTATTGATATGCAGCGTTTCTTTTTATTGTTAAAACGGGCTATTGTATTTATAAAAAGTCGTGGTTCTTTATGGAATATTAGGCAATGTTCGAATCTATCTTTGGATTTAAATAGAGTCACGACAAGATCTTATATGGAGAAACAGAAAAATACTTCTTTTGAGGAAGAATATCATTATATAGATATTTGTTTAAAACCAAAGAATTGGAGTAATGTGTTAAATAATATCTCACTTCGTTCTATCTTTTATTTACATGAAAGTACAGCCGAACAAGATCGTTTCCGTGGAAGAACACATAGACCACCAAATTATTCCATTACCGGTGATCAATGTAGACGTCTTTTACATCTTCAACCTTCTTTAGTCACGAGTTTCAATACCGCACTTTGTCGATATGGGATGAGTTGGTTGTGTGAGTTCTTTGTTAATGGACGATATCCACAGCGATTCTTTCATGATAAGTGGCGATTAAGTAATGGGCATTGTGGAAAAGAAGAGAGTTGGCCTGTTTATTGGCAACAACATTTAAATCTTCTCACTACTACGGTGAAGACTCGGGCTAATAAGGAATCCACACATGTGAGTGAAATGGAAGGAATATCGGCTTTAGATGATCTTCACGAGGCGGTGGATTATTTCTTTGATGTGCGGGAACTGCAGAATATCTCACAATTTCTCTTTTTCACAAAAGAGGAACTTTTGACTCGATACACCACAACGGATCTTGGCCCTCGGTTTACTGCAGAGGAGGAAATTGTACGGAAACTGTTTGGTTAATTCTACAAATGTCATTTTTTTTTTAATTATTATTATTATTGCTTTTTTTTGAGTTGTGTACATTTATTTGTTTTTTTTTTTATTATTATTATTATTTCTAGTGTTGTGCATGTAATGTTTAACAATAACAGTTTGAAATATATTTTCATTTTTGTTTTACAGACATATGTGCTTATTGGTATTATAGGTGTTTATATATATATATGTATATGTATATTGGTTTCGTATTCGTTTTTTTTTTTATTTATTTTTATTTATTTTCCTCTTTTTTTCCCCTGTTGTATTTATCTGTGTAATTCACTGGTACTCTAATTACTCTTTTTTTTTCTTTTCTTTTTTCTGTTCTTTCCATTATTCTCCTACCCACATCTAATATATATATATATATATATATATATATATAT